GGGGCGGGGGGCGGACCCTGGCGTGGACCAGTGGATGTCCCTTCTTCTCGAGGGCGGGGGAGGGCGCCGCGAGGGCACAGGGCCAGAGATGGCTAGATGGACGGTGTGCGGGACGCCGGTTGCAGCACTTCGCGGGGTCGCGGGGGAGAACGCGCTCTTATCCCCACTCCGCTACAGCTCCGCTACTCCCGGCGCCGCGGCGCTGCCACTCAGACCATACCGAGTGATTCTCAGCCCACTTTCATGAATAAAGTACGAGAAAGCATCCTACAAGACGGCGTGTGACACCGGCTCACCTCCCCAGCCGCGCCCCGCCGCGCCCCGCCGCGGCCCCGCACGGCCATAGTGAGAGTCCATCAGGATATTGCCCTCCTCTATACTTCATGTGAGGGCGTGCAGGTCTGCGGCGCGGAGGGAGGGGGGGAATCGGGGCGAGGGAAAGGGAAGACGGGGGAGGGGTAGGGGGAGCGGGGACGAGTGAGGAGCAGAAGCGAGCGCAGTCTGAATCGCAGCGCCGCGGCAGGACAGGTGTCAGAGGCGCAATTAAGACCCTACAGAGTCGGACATTGACTGGCAGAGGTCAGATAGAGGTTCCGCTGCCGTACGAGTGCCGAAAGATTAGGTCGGTGTCGGTGTGGCGCAGTGTATTGTTTTCACTATTCTGCTTCTTTCAACAAAATGGACAAGCGCAACGGCCAGTGCATCAACCTGGTTTACGAACTGCACAGGGGCTGCCTGAGGACGTCATGGATGCCACCTGAGGACGCCATGGATGCCCTGAGGACGCCTCAAAGGGCGGCTGCCCGAGGACGCCGTACAGTCTACCTGAGGACGCCGTGGATGCCGCCTGAGGACGTTGTAGAGGCTGCCTGAGGACGCCGTAGGGCTACCTGAGGATGCAGCGGATGCCACCCGCGAACCGCGGAGGCCCCCTGAGGACGCTGTAGGGGCCGCTTGAGGACGCCGTAGGGGCGGTCTGAGGACGCCACAGGGGCCGCCTGAGGCCGCAGAGGCAAGCTGGCCGCGGGAAAGGCAGCTCCAGGCGTGTGTATTATTCATAGGCCCGTGGCGGAGACATAGCGCGGCCCGGCGGAGACTCGACATGACTGAGATGGTTTCTCGCCAAAAAACACTCTCTCCTAATTGCAGCGCGCGGCAGACGGCAGTGCACCCCGGGGACCTGTCGCGGCGCGCCGCCCCCACCCCGCACACACGCACGCACACGCACACACACACACCCACACACACAAACACACACAGCCCGCTGACCAATCAGGTGATACGCTACTCGGCGCCACTCGCCTTCATTTTCACGGCGATTTTATGACGCGGCTCTAAATGGGATAGGCCACGCTCCTCGCCTCCAACCCGCTCCCCCCCCCCCTCCCCCCTCGACACGGCGGCAGCGAAAAAAGAAATAGGGGTGCGGGGGGGCAGCCCAGGCCCAATCCCAATGCTCCCTTCGCCTTTGCCTGGTGGGTCCGGTGGGGACCGGCGGGGAAGCACGACTGCAAAGGCCAGCCCCCCCCCCTCCCCCTCTCGCTTCTCTGCTCATTTCCTGAAAGGAATTCTCCCGCGAGAGTGACGGGCAAAGACAGGGATCGAGGTCGGGAGATGCAGTGACGCCCCCGGGAGGGGAGGAGGAGGAGGGCGAGGATGGGGGGCGTCACGGGGGCGTCCCTGGATGCGCAGTGCTTTCATTCCCTCTGCTATGGTTTTCCGCACGCTGTCTATCGAGGCTCGGATATCGGCACGCGGGGTGTGAGAGCAGCAGCAGCAGGGCCTCCGCGACAGAGGTTTGCAGGGGGGGGGGGGTCCTGCGGTCCTGCAACTACTGTCCTGCAGTGGCACCCGTCTCCACACCCTGGCAGAGTGCATATCAGCCCCAGCCACGTCCTTTATTGTACCGCAGCACAGGGGGATCCGGGGGGTGGGGGTGATACTGTGGCTGGCGCTAATACAGGAAGCCAAGGGGTGGGGGGGGGGTGGAAGAAGAGGAGGTCGGGGGCAGGGGAACAAGAAGAGAAAGGGGGAGGGGGCAGGCAGATAGAAAGAGGGTGGCCCATGACAGAATCCTTGACAGAAGCACTCACCTAATTGTTCCGGTGGCGTCACGGTAGTTACAGAAGCAATCATGTGGATTGCCCTGCCACTCGGGCTCAGCGGGAGCCGGGCGGAGCGGCGGCGGGGCGGTGCTGGTGTCGGCAGCAGCGCCGCCGGGGAGGAGGAGGAGAAGGTGGTCCTGGTGGTGGTGGTGGTGGTGGCGGCGAGGTGTGCTGGCCTCGTCACATCATCAGGGCGGGCTGGCGAGCTTCTCGACGGCGATGGTGAGGAGGGGCCCGCGCCGAGTGTAGCCGCAAGCAACTAGAGGATTGGGAGAGAAAAGTTGACTTTCAGGCCTTTCATTGTGAGCTCGGGCGGTTCCTAACTTGTGTACCGCCGACCGACTTGTCGTCGAATGACTTGTGGTGACCGGACACCGACGGCGGAGTAGGCGAAACCTCCCGAACCGAGGGCGTGTGCACCGAAACACCCGGTATACACAACAAGTTGCCAGCTTGGAGTTGAAACACTTTTACCCCCACTCAATCTTGATAATGTAACAACGCAGTTGAGAAATATCCAGGAGGCTGAAGAGTGACACAATACAACTTGAGTGTCTTGGCAGGGTGGGGGGTAGTGTACGTAGTAACCGAGAGGGTAACACTTCCACCAACACTCCGTGAGTAAAGACGTGGCGGGTGGTTGAAGTTACGACGTTGTGGACGGTACGATCGTCCTCTCCAGCAACCCCTGCTCCCCGGCTTCCTACTTGTTACTTTTCGTCACGATACGATGAGGGGAGGGCGTCTAAGACAAGTAGCGCCACGTGACTTCAGCCCGCCCCGCCCCGCCCCAACCCGAGGGGAGGTCCGCGGCCGCCCCCCGGCCTCCGCCGGCCCGCAGGCCGCTTGAATACATTACCGGCTCAGCTGGGTCTTCGGTGACCTTTGTCAACAACAAATCTGCCCGCGCTGCTGGAGCGTTTGTTCCTCGTCTGGAGGGAGGGGGCTGCCCCGCTACAGCTTCCCGCGCGACAACCAGCGCGATTAGGTGGTGGAAGGTGTGGGCGCTTGTAAGATGAAGTCTGGGAAAGGGGGAAGCAGCGAGACGGGGAGAGAAGGGGGAGAAAGAGAGAAAGAGAGGGAGAATGGGCCAAGAGGGGTGGGTGAGAGGGTGAGAAGAGGGAGCAGGAGGGGAAGACACAGAGACAGTATGCAGGATAACAAGGAAGGCGGTGGCTTCCCGAGTCAATTACGAGGAGAGCCCCAACGTGACGCGCGGAGACGCAATGTGATACCGCCTCCTCCTCTCGCCTCCACCCCCTCCCACCCCGCCACCTTCTCTCCACTCCAGTTCAGTGGCGCCAAGCAAACCGAGCGACGCGTCGGACCTGCCAACCCACCCACAAAGCAGTCTCGAGCCGGTGGGGCGGGCGGCGGGGCCGCGCCGGGCCGGCGCGCCGCGAGGCGGTGAGTGGCAAGTCTCGCCGGTAAATTGGCAACACTGAGCAAAGCTAACAGGCAGGACGCGGCGCGGGCCGGGGGCTGCTGAGAGGGCCGGCGGGGCGGCGGCGAGCGGGGCGTGGGGCCCCGCGCCGGGCTGGGCCCGACTCCAATCCAATCAAAATAAATGACAAGATTTCAGTTGAGTTGGCGCGATAATTGGCAATTAAGAGAACCACAAAAGTCCTTTGTCGGCCGCAAGCGCGCAGGCAGGCGGGCGGGCGGGCGGACGGGCAGGCAGCAGCGTCGGGGGAAGGCCCTCGGCGGGGGACGAGGAAGGCGGGAAAGGGCCAGCCGGCAGAAATAGATCCGTCATTAGCACCGTCAAGCGTCAAGCCCCGCACATAATCTGCGACGGCACCGCCCCCCTGGCATGCCCGCCGCGGGGGTAGCGGGACTCGACGTCCACGTCGACATCGCGACCCTCCGGCTGGTGGCGGCGTGTGGCGCCAGCACTCGGCATACGCACCTCCTGGGCGCGAAGATCGGCCGCCTGCTTCTCATCCACGGCACTCGTTCACCGTCCACACACGCACACACACACACACACACACACTCGCGCGCACAAGTCCAAATCCTCGGCACCGGTTGACGGCGGCGGCGGCGCTCGCGTCGAGCGGAGAGCGAGTCGCAGGCGAGACGCGTGGGGTGTGTGGGACGAGACGTCTACCCGGCGCGGCGGCTGCCAGCCAACTGAGCCGACTGCTACTGACTGCGTGCCCGCCCGCGCCGCCCGCGCCGCCCGCGCCCGCGCGCTGGAGCTGCTGGGCTACGGGAGCGCGGCGGGGGGAGCCGAGCCGGTGTGGCCCGAGCTCGAGCCGAGTGCACGCCGCCGCCACCGCCTCGCCTATAGTACAGTCCGCTCCGCTCGTACAAAACCTTATTCGCCGGACCTTTCGCACGACCACCGCCGGCTAGCTCAAGCAGGCCGGTCTCTGGACCGACCAGACTCACACACAGACACAGGGATAGGGTAAGGTGCCCTATTATGGCCACTGTCCCATTGGTGGCCACTTTTCTCGATTTCCAGCCAATCTGGTCACTTTACAATCTTGGCCTTGAAGTTGTGTTCTTGTAAGGTCCCTACTTGGGCATAATACGCCAAACTACTTCACATCGTTGTCTACATTACAAGAAAAAGGGGTGGCCATCATCTTAAGGTGGCCGTCAGAGGGCATCTTAACCTACGAAGACGCACGGAGACTCTCTCTGCCGCCAACCCCGCCCTTCCCCCACGCACCCACCCCCATACATACACTCACACACACACAGACCCACAGCGCTTGCGGAAGTGGCACACCCGGCGAGAGTCGGTATGTTTTAGCCACGTTTGCGACAAGGACCCCTAGTGCGGCGCAGTCATCTTGAAAAGGGTGGGGGGATGATTCCGTGTTCCACATTAACAGACCTACCAACAACCGATTAGGAAGTACCAGAACAGAATAGAAAACAGGATTCGGAAAGAGTATGGTCAATAGAGAAAAGAAGGGGCTGGGAGAGTCGATGGACTAGAAAGATGAGCTGCGATTGACACTCAAAGAAATGAGAAAAAGCTAGCAAGTAGTTTTGTTGGGCCAAGTTGGTAAAATGAATCTAGATCAAGGGAGAAAGGGAAGGGGCCGAGAGGAAAGTGAGGGAGGAGGTGGCAGCCAATGCCCGCGACAGGACAGAGCGGGACACAGCCCATCGGAGCCCTCCCCTCCTTCTTCCCCCGCCTCGCCCCGCCCCGCCGCCACGCCCCACCGCCAAGCATTACCGGCTGAGTGCCAAAGTGTGTTCCTTTTTTAATGCAAATTACCGCTCCGGCCACGAAGCGTCATTGGCGTAGCAGCGGAAAGGGGGGAGGGAGGGGGTCCTAGGGGGTGGGGCTGATAGGGATAGGGGGTGAGAACACGAGGGGGGAAATCCAGCACACGTCTCTTTAGTCCCACATAAGCTTCACGCGATCCGCTGGTCCCGGACACACCGGCGGGCTGTACGTGTGTACGGTGAGAGGAAATAAAGGGTGTGATGGGCGCTCGACCGCGTCGCGGGCGCAACTTAATAAATGGACGCTTCCCTAATCGAGAGAAAATCGGCACTTTTATTTTTTTCAGTTGCCCCGTGCTTGGCCGTATGCTTCCTATCCCCATTCCATCACAACCGACCTCATCCCCCCCCTCCCTTTGGTCCCACCCCCACCCCCCAATCCTCATCTGTCTGTCTGTGTGTCTGTCTGTCGGTCTGTCTCTCTCTTCCTTCGCTCTCCCTCCCCACACTCAGTCTCCCACTCCCCCCCCCCCTTTTGTCGCCTTTGTATTCACTGGGACAGAGCGGACGCAGGCCAATTAGGAGAAACACCATTTGCGAATTTGTGTAATTGTTTGCAAATAAAGGGCGTTTCAATCGACTCGATTTTCAAGCAATTGTCGCCCGCGCCGCGCCCCGGGGCCCGCGGGCTGGACAACACAACACTCTACCCCCCCCCATTATTTGCAAAACCGATAGCCAGCGCCCCCTCCCCCCCGCCCCTTCTGCCCTCGGGTCCACGGCTATCTACCGGGATTAGCGCCCCGTGTTCCCTGCCCCTCCCCGCCTCGCCCCGCCCCGCCCCGCCTCGCCCCGCCCGCTCCTCACGACATTCTCATAGCGGCCGGGCCGTGGCGGCGCCACTCATCAGCGTGCTGCTGGCTGCGGCCGAGGCTGCGGCGCCCGAAACCAATCCGGATAGAGTTAGGAATTAAGGCGCAAATAAATTACCCAATTTGTGTAAATTTGCATGTTTCCATGGCGACGGGGCGGCGTGGCGCGCGGGCCGCTATAACGATGTGGCGAACATGTTTTGGCCCCGGCCGACGGCCGGGGGTGCGGTGGGGGGAGGGGGAGAGGGGAAGGACGCGGAGGGGGTGGGGGTGGCGGGGGACACGGGCCCCTAGGCTGCTGCGTGGCCTGCTGCACTGGGATCTGCCTCCCTCATACCACGGCTGGGTGCAGCCTGGCGGGTAGGCAATACCCTCGCACCTGCACGCACCTGTGTCGTCGTGCTGCCTACCTCCCAGGCGCTTCTTGGAGAACACGTCCCAGCCCAGGCAAGTTCAAAGAACAGGGTTTTCGTCTCACTGTCTCACTTTTTAGGCAGTCGTTTATCGGCTGACTTTTACATTTGCTCAGAAGCAAGCCAGCCTGATCCAGTTAAAATACAAGCCAGCCAGCGCCCAGCCCCAGCCCAGCTAGTATGCCAGCGCCTAGCCCCAGCCCAGCCCAGCTAGTATATATGGGCGTGTGTGCGGGTTTGGGGTGGCATGATGTGTCGGTCTCTATCAGATAGATAGATAGATTCTGTGCGGTGTGAAGCCTCAACGCTATACTAAGAGAGCATAATTGGAGGAGGTGGCCCGACCCGCCCGCGCGCGAGGAGAGAGAGAGACAGAGAGCACATGGCCTCTACGCGCCTAGCCTGGCGCCCCCCGCCCCAACCCGGCTGTGCATATGCCTCCCCCGCTGCTGACTGCGTGCCCGCCCGCGCCGCCCGCGCCGCGCCTAGCCTGGCGCCCCCCGCCCCAACCCGGCTGTGCATATGCCTCCCCCCCCTCCCCCTCCCCCCGCGCGGGGCCCGCGTTGGGCTGAACTCAAGGGTCACATAAACATACACTCTTAATGTCGAAGGGAAATTATTATCTCGCCCCACCAACCACAAACAAACGAATTACGCATCTCG